CCTTCTTGATCAGTAATAACATCAGCATTGGCAATAGCATCAGCATCAACAATAGCTGCATCAAGTGCAACTGTATCAATAAGTAATTTTCGATCAATATTTTGTTCTTCATTCTCAACATTAAGATTTTCATCTTCTTCATTTGAACTTTGAGTTTCTTCAGTTGAAAGAGTTGATGATGTATTACCACGTTGTTTTATATCTTGTATATCAATATCATTTTGTCTATCAAGATCACATAATGATTGACCAAGTTTAATTGGATCACCAGGTTTAACATTAAAAACAAGATTGTCAGGTGCTTCAAAAACAAGTACAACAGTAGAACCTATAAAAAAAAAAGGAAAACAAAAAATTTATCGAAGAAATATTTCTTGTATTTTAACTTACCAAAATTAAAGTCACCAAAATTATCAGCACGTTTAAGTAAAATTCCATTTGAATTTCGAATTGTTTGAAAGGTTTTTTCTAATCGTGGTCGACGACGAATATTTGTTTTTAATTCCTAAGAATAAAAAAAATAAAAAAAACAAATTTTTCGATTTTTTTTTATATTGAACTATTTTCTTACAGGATCAAAATGAACATTAATACTACCAACAATTGTTGCTCCAACAGCTGTCATAGAAAAAAATCCATATTTCCATGAACCATAATAAGCTGCTCTTTCATTTAAACAAAATAAATTTTGAAGCCAACTAGCAACTTTTGGATTTACAGAAAATAAATGACCAATATAATGACGGCGCCAACTTATTTGCCTATTAACAAAAAATAGAATAGAATCATAAAGATGTTAATATAACATACCATTCTGTTGGTGAATGAAATCGATGGTAATCGCCAGGAGCAAGATAAATAACCTAAATACAATTTTTTTTCTATGTAATAATCATTCAGTTTTTTTTTGTCGTGACACAACATTTACATGTGGAATATTATAGTGCCGACACTTCCATATCAAAGTAATTTTTTGAGAATGAAATTGCCCGTAGGGATCTACCGTAGTTCCCAATCCAAAATTCATATTAAAAGAGCGAAAGAACTGATCTGTTGTGGGAACGGTATTTCAGTCATAGAACAAACTTTTTTTTGTATCCGAAAATGTCTTTCTCAAAAACAAAACAAAATTTGCTCGGGCAGATCATTTCAAAGAACTGAACTGTTGAAATCGCACAGTGCCTGAGATCAGAAGTAGAACTGCACTTGTAGATCTCTAATTGAGGATAAAAGCACATCTACAAAGAAAGCAAGACTTGGTGGATCCTGCTGAACTTTTATTGATTCTTATATATCTATCTGTACTTTATTCAAATTTGTATACTCACTAAACCAATCGACAAATCTCACAGGTAAATCTTTCCTATGAAAAAACAATTTTGGAATTCATTTGCCCCATGAATTCTATTTTATCAGATGAATTAAAGTCATGTGTATGAATAAAACAGAAAGATCTTTTGTTTCCATATTATTGGATTAATGAAAGAAAGAGAAGAGAAAAATTAATTGTATGCATAAGTATCGATGTGCTAGTATCATGCATGAAAATGTCAGTCAATCATTGTTTTTTTTTAATCGTCATACTTACTGCATAATAAAGTGCATGACCACGATATCTAAGTAAGCTTTCAGCATATGAATGTGCATCATCATAATCATAAGTCGAATTAGATCTCGTTTTATTTTGTTGTTGAAATTTCGTTAAACCAGCCGTTAATGGAACACCAAGAAATGAAGATGCAGTATATGTTATACCTTTAACTTGTTCAATAAGGCCACGAGATACTTTACCACATGTTAAAACACGACCATCACATGGTGATACGATTGGAGATTGTTTATCTATCGGACGTAATTCCATTTTTATTTTACGACGAAAAAATTCTGATATTGTACAATAAGATTTAAGATCTTCATTATACATTTCATGAGGATTACATGAGAATATTTTTATATAAAAATAAAAGATTAATGGACGAAGCCATACAGGTAAATAAAGACGACTTATCCAACCCATTAAACGTGAGATTAATCTAAGTGGTAACAATTTATAAATTGATATCTAAATTAGAAATTTTTACAAGATCATTTTCATTTTGATTATAATAATTTAGATATTTTTTTTGTTTAATTTTCAATTACTTTTGATGGTGCTTTTGGTTTCTTTAATAAATTTCTTGGTTTTTTAACGAAATGTTTCATTCTTGCTATTCGTTTTGCAGTTGATGATAGACCACGTATTGATTTCGACATTGTGCGTCTAACACCAGTACCTAATTTTTGTCGTACTAATGCTGCACTTCGTTTAACTCGTCGACTAACAAGAAGTGGTGTTAAAATAAACGTCATGACAAGATTAAATGGACTTGATGCATCATCTTCTTCAATAAGTTCTTCATCAGGACAGAACATTTTTAATGAATTAATAATACAATAAAAGAAACAAGACTACAATAATATTTGAAAGATATAAGAAACTTTTGTTTGTTTTTTACTGAGAATCTAGATGTTGAGATATAGAAAAAAAAAATTAGAAAATCTTCACTTTGATTTAATTCAACGAGTTGAAGTCTTATTTTTTTTTTATAATAGAGGCCTATGGAAAATATGATTTTACTTTGTAAATATCATTATTAACTTTCCTAAAGAAATAGAACCGATTATTAAATAATAAAAACAAAAATTTATATGAATCGATCGATAGATAATTTTTAATTTAAGGTCTTCATCTATCGGACACATACACATAGTTTGTTCATATAAAGAACTAGATAAAATTAGCAGAAGTCAAAACAGATTCATGCAAATTAGCTAGTCAATGTTTGATCTGATATTTTTACTCATAGGGTACGTCTCAACGTGATTAGATTGCTCGGAAAGTTTCTCTTGATACCCAAGATTTCTTCTCGAGATATTCATTGATCAGAAAACTTTCATGTGTCATAGGCAAAAGTCACAATTACAGGTGTAAGCCGAGCCACTGCCGAAACCTAAACAGATGTTAAAGATTCTCAGCAGTCGCCGTCGTTGCACAAAAAACATACTAAGATTTTGCATATTTTAGACATTCATGATCAATTTTCGCGAATGTTCTTACTAATAAAAAAAACCAAAAACAAATCTGCTTTTTGTATAAGTATTATTTGGTATAGTAGCCCACAGTATGACATGTATATCAAAGAGTTCTAGCGTTGTATTTACCATTTATTGAGTAGAAAAACCTAAGGGACTATTTCAAAAATTTGAGTTTCTAAATAAAAACTCGAGAAAACGCATTTCACGGTAACGATGATAAAAATCTGTCAGAAATTCAATAATCTGATTTTAGACTAAAATTATATTTCATTTTCTTTTTAACTAACTTATCCAGTTTCATACTAGCCACTTCTCTATTAACATTTTCTACCTTTTTCATTTCAAAATCTCTCGAAAATAAGAAAACAAAGAGTCATAAAAAATCTTGAATCGATGCCAATCAACACATCGACTTACACCTCTAATCAGGACACTAACTCTTTTGATCATTTAATATTCCGAGAAAGGATTATGCTTCTCAAGAGAAACTCTCCGAACAATCAAATAACCATGCGATGTACTTATGAGCAAAACTTCACGTCAAATTTTGGCTAACTAATTTACGCGAATCTTTTTTTTTTTGCATCTGCTAATCTCATCTAGTTCTTTAAATGAATAAACTATACGTGTATCCTACAGATGAAAATTTTGAATTAAAAATTAACAATCGATTATATTTCTTCATGAAAGTTAATAATGATATTTCACGATAGTATTTACTTTTTCATATTCATATGAAAGCAAAACAAAAATACTTGAAATAATCTTCTATTACAAAAAAAATAAATAAATAAATAAATAAGTCAACTTATTTGATTGAACTAAAGTGAAGATATTCCTATTTAATATGAACTAGTTATTTTTGGTGCACTTAACATATAGTAATAGCATAAATGACAAGAAAGAGAAAAAAAAAAAAAAGAAAAGTCGAAAACCAAAAAAGATTTTCGTTTGTTCTACAATGCTTTTTAAAAAAAAAGAAAACAATAAACTAAAGTATATCTACAGATAGATGTGGAAAGACTTTTGCTAATATATGCTGAAATGTCACAAGAAAAAAAAATGTTTTTTTTTTAATTCTTTTTTATAACTTTTTGTTCTTCTTTACTTTTGCATCACTTCTAATTACCGACATATTAATCATTAATTGTACAATCACATAAACCATGAGAATAATCAATGCAAATATGATTTTTCCAAATAATGTACTATGAAAGATAAATTTACCAAACCAAATCAATGAAGGAATACCAATAGTAACAATCCAAAAAATTTCAATTAAAAGATCAGAATAATTTCGAACAACAGGTACTTCTGGTACACCAAGACCATCAAAATTATCATGTTGAATAAAATGATCATAAATACGATCCTTTATATATATAAAAAAAAAAAAAAAAAACAAAAATACAATCAATTCAAGTATGATTTTATACTCAATAATTTTGAGAATATAAAAGATATCTCATTGGTTTTTTTTCGAGTTACCTTTTCTTGAAAAAGTTTATGTATCCATTCACCACATGTTGCATCATCTTCATATGGAATTTGTGATGTAGGAACTCGTCTACATAAGAAAAAAAAAATTATTGTATAAAAATACATAAACCTTCCGGAAGAATAAAAGACTATGGCTTTCTGTTAAGAATCACTTTTATTACTAGCAAAGCTATTAGCGTAATTTCTGCAAGATTATCCCACTTAATCTTCTAGAAATGCAACGAGGAGGTAGTTCATATATTACAAAGAGACATTATTGATATACTGTCTTTGATCGTATATCAACAACATTTGTTATGATCTGTGCGAAGGGGAAGTTCAAATTTTTTACCTCCATACTTCAACACTCTTTTTAGATGGTGTTTCACAAAAACAAACAGTATTCTTAATTTAGTCAAATGATGTTTTCCTACAAAAAAACCGGAAAATCCACAAAACAATCCACTACGATTTTCGAAAAACTCATAGCCTTGTGTTACTCTGGATGCAAATGTGATTATCTATTTTAATTTACTTGATATAAAGTTGAGCTTTACACGAATGTCCTTTGAGTAATGTACGAAATATTGGTGAAGCACCATCCTTTGAAAAGCCAAGCATAAAATTATAAATACCTGGTACTGAAAAATAAAATGAAATAACAATAAAATCAAAAAAAAAAAAAAAACAAATAAGTTTTCAAACAATTTACTTTTTCCTTTTGCTCCTTGCATAATCATTGTAAAGCCTCTTGTCCGTGGTAATATATGATATTTTAATTCTGGTAAATTTTTCTCTTGTGCATATTTCATACTTTCTAATCGTTTTGGTTCTGTAAATCGTGTACCTTCACAAGCCATCAAAAACTACAGAAAAATTAAAAACAAAAAAAAACACTTGTTAGCATACTAAACTATGGAATTCACGTATGTTCTTTAGCCTGATTATACTAATACAAATGAAAAATTTCTAGCAGACTAACATTATTTTCCGATGGGATTGTCGATTGCCAGAGGAACAATCTGTTTTATTTATACCTGCATTTTGAATATAAATTTGTCTCTATTTTTTCTTTTGCCTTGTTGTTTTTTATTTTCGTATAATATTTTTCTTAATTTCATATTATTACTGATTTAACTGGCAATAAATTTTATTTACATATCCATTTTATCTACAGTAAGTCTCAACACACTGTTATATATCTCAAAAAGGAATAGATGCCAATAACTGATGAAATCGGTTCTATCTAGAAATTTGGTTTCTTCTATGTCAAACTTTCATATAAGATGTCCAAAAGTAATTTCTAGTGGAATTATTCCTATAGCACTTGTTTGTGCTTTGCTTAGACCGATTGAAAATTGAAATAGTTGATGATTATCAGCTTTTCATCTATCAATTTGATGATCGATCAGACTAGTTTTCCTATGGTTTGATAGCGCTACAAAATGGAATATAGAAATATCGAAGAAAAAGCATTGGGCTCTAAGAAAAATTTTAAGGATACTATTCACTAGACATTATATTTTATGCTTTTTTGACTGATATTTATTAGGTTTTAATCAGAAAAAATATTTGAATTAGCATTCAAAATCGAGTCGATCTATGTAGGTTTCAAATATTTTCATGAACTCTTTTCTATGCTTTCCCTCACGTCAGGAATAAGTTAAAAAATGAATTTCATCTAAAAATTATTTCAACATTCGAAATCAAATGTTAAGGCTGTAAAATGATAGTAGAACTCAAAATAACAAATGAATAAACAATAAAACCTACGTTTTAAATGAAATTCATTTTCTCACTCCTTCCAGAAGTGAATATTTCGACGAAAAAAGAAAATACTTCGAACTCACACAGATCGACTCAGTTTTGAATGCTGATTCAGAATATCATATTAGTTTCACATAGGTCCCACTTTTTTCTGATCGAAATATACTAAATATCAGTCAAAAAAGTCATAAAATCATATCTCGACAATAGTATCCTTAAAATTTCTCGCCAGTCACCAAATTGATAAATAAAAAACTGATAATCATCAACAGCTGAACTCAGTGTATATGTCTCAGTCATTGACTATTTCAACCGACCACCAAACAACACTTTCAGACATCTTGTATGAGAGTTTAACATGAAAGAAACCAAATATCTCTATGGAAAAGAAGTGTCCTCAGTTGTTGTGAAATAATTGGAACGGGAGGCAAATCGCAAAACTTCGACTTCATAATTTACACTCACTAAATTTTTCTTCAATGAGTTCTACAAACAAAAACAAAAAAAAAACCAACAACCTACACTAAAATAATAATTATCTGGATAACCATTAAGAAGTTGTTGAATATCATGTTCTAATACTTTCTTATCACTTTCCCAAATACGACGTAAAAAAATTGATTCAGAAAAAAACCATGACCAACCAAGAATTGGTATTAAACTAAGTGAACGTTTTCCAACAATTTTTAAACCCTATTTAAAAAAAAAAAAAGAAACACCCGAAAATTTTTAAATTAAATCAAAATTTTTTTGAATTTTACTCCAAGTATACCAAGTTCTTGTGCAACTACTAATCCAAGAAGCCAATCAATTTCATATCGATGATTAACAAGTATAATTGAATATTCATGTTGAAGATGTTTTAAATCTTGTGGATCAACATAAACTGTTACATTAGAATCAGACCACCATGAATACAGAAAAGTTAATTCTAAAACAAAACAAAAAAACAAACAAATAATTTTAAATCAATTTTAAATACATACGACTCCATAATAATGTTCCTAGGTGATAATTTATTCGACGATATATTTGTTTACTAAATGGCCAAATAAAAATACATGTTAAAAGTTGAACAAAATTAACAATTAAACCACTAATAACAAAACAATAGCAAATAAATATTTGCATTGGTAATAATGATTGAATAGTATTGAGAAATTTTCGATGGAACTCCATTAATTTGAAGTCAATATTCATGCACACAGAGAAATAATATAGGAAATCAAAAATAAAAAACAAAAAAATAAATGATATCATCATGTACACATATGATAATTAATGATATTTGAAATCATTATTCTACGTACTAATAAAAAAAACAAACAAATAAATATGATAATAATCATTCGTCTATAAAAAATTTATTTTATTTTGAAAGACAAAATTTAAATGGATGGATAAAAATGAGAAAAAATTCATTCCTAAAAAAAAACAAAATGCAAAAAAGCACACAATTTTCATGCAGATCTGAATTAATAAAAAAAAATAATAATAATAAATTCATTCATGTTTATATCTCAATAGCCAGCTATTCTTCCATATAAATTAAATATCACATATAAATCATATTTAATTAATCATTTTTTTCTATCTCACCATAATGCGAACCACGTTCAATTTCTGTCATAGCAATCATAGCTCGAACACCAATACTTGCTATATAACACAAAAAACAAAAACAAATAAAAAGTAATTAATGATGAAATTGGATAAGCCCATTTTTTTTGCCATCAACAACATTGTTTACTAGTAAGATATGATACTGGATGACATAGGTTTTATATAGCTAACGAAAAAAACATTTTTCGAACCTGTAATCCTCAATGAGGATCTGGAGAAAACTCGATATGTTTAATTCCGTTAAAATGAACAGGAATGATGGGTTCTTATTTGACGTAAGTATCTGTCAGAAATTTTGAACACTGCTTTCGGAAGGCTTTTGAGCTCCCATTCGATAGCGAAAATTGTTCTCTATTGATGTATGCAAGATTCAGTTTACTTCATTTAAAAGTAGATCTTCAGCAGGGTAATTAATCATGCTAAGTCGAGCAGTGATGTTCATTTTTGCTTTCAGAATCATATGAAATCACTAGAGGAAGATATGTGAAATTTGAAATTTTTTCACCAATGGACATAGCTTGATCAATTACACTTCTGAAGATCTATTTTTGAGCTATAAAATGTCAATTTACCGAAATCAGGAATTTCAGAGAAACCTTACAACTTTTGAATGAATGATCTTATTTTGTCGCGGGTAGTAGTATATTAAATATTTAAAAGCTCTTAATAAATAAGAAAAACGATCTTTTCCAAATGCTGTATTTGGCTTTACATCCATTTATCATCCCGAGTGATTAATCTAACATCATGAAAAACAATTCTTAAGAGGTACAACAACGTAGTTTAATCGAATATGAACTAATCGGATCTCAAAATTAGGATTATCATTTCAAAATCTTATCATAGAAGACTAGAAACAATGTAAAATTTGTATTGAATGCGTAATTTTCAATGCTTTATCAGATGATAAGCTTGAAAAGTAAAAAAAAACATAGTGCATCGAGATTTTTGAATTTTCTTTGAAAAACCTTTCCAGAATCGTAAGGATTTCGATGAAAAGCGAGTTCATCATCGTGTTCAATGCATTAAATAAACTTCTTTTCATTGAACCTCTTATGATTCTGAAAAGATTCTCAAAAACCTTAACACATCATTTTTTTCTGTCGCTTGTTGAGTCTATCATTCGATAGTGTTGAAAATTGTATAATGAGGTTTCGAAATTCTCAGTTTTCATTCGTGATAGAGAAAAAGCAGATTTTGGACTCACAATCCTAATTTTTATAGTTCATATTCGAGTAAACTATGTTATTGTACCTATTAAGAATCTTTTTTTTCATGATGTTAGAATAATCACCGGAGAAGATACATGGATATAAAGCCAGTATAGCAATTTGAAAAAGGGATTGTTTTTTTTTTTTATTTATTAAAAAGTTTTCAATACTTAATATCCTGATTATCGCTTTCAACGTACTTGACTCTATCAATGAATATGCGTTTCAAATGTCATTAGGTATCATGTCTTACTACAAAACAATTTACAAAACAAAAAAAGTCTATTTTGTTGAGAGCATATCAATAGTCTTATTCGTTCTCATCCTTTCTATAATTTAAATTCTATTATTTACCAAGAATAACTACAATAAGAAAAATTAATTGAGCAATAAATGAACTTGTCCAAAGAAATTTAATAAGATAAAATATTGATGGTATTCCAATGATTATCATCCAACTAAGTTCAATTAATAGATCATAATAATTACTTTGAATTTCAACACGAGCTAAGCCATTACCTTCAAATGTATCATGACGAACAAAATAATCATAAATTTGATCTTTTTCTTTATATAATTTATAAACCCAATTGTTACATCCATTAGTATCTTTTGGAATTTCAGAAAGTGGAATACGTCTAACAAATATTTCTGCTTGACAAGAACGACCTTGTATTATGCTTAAAAGTGTTGGTTTAGCTCCACTTTTTTTAAAACCAACAGTTAAATCATATATTCCTGTGACTAAATAAAGAAAATATAATTCATAATAAAATTTATTAACCTCTTTCGAAATAGAGAGAACTATGAATATTCTGGAAATAGCTTCAGCTCTTACCTTATTGCTATAGAGATACTAGACAATAGAATCTTTCTCCTGCCTCAAAGATTACAGCAGATTGAAGCATTGTATCTATGACACAATATAGACATGCGAATCTTTATTTGTTAATAAGAAAATGAAAATTAACGTATTTGAATTGTGAAAAATCAGTGTTTTTATCGTAAGTCCTTTGCATTAAGGCCTATCAATCTTGGATTGCTGCTTACGATTTTTATTTCTAGTCTAAATATCAGACAAAAGAATTGAAGTCTATGTACTTTTTACTCGGTTCTGGGACAATATTTTTTTTTCATCGGTTATAAATAAAACAGTTCTAGAAATTTTTTTGCTAACATTAGATATTAATTTATCTTACTTCGATCTTCTGCTCCTTGTAATAATAAAGTAAAACCTTTTGTACGTGGTAATATATGATGTTTAAGTTCAGGTAAACCTTTTTCTTGTGCAATTTTCATACTTATTAATCGTTTTTTTTCAGTAAAACGTGTACCTTCACAAAAAAGTAAAAACTAAATAAAAGAAACAAAAACAAAAAATTCGAAAAACAACAAAATAGATAAAAAAAACGAAATCTTACATTAAAAAAACAATTTTTTGGATAATTATCAAGAATTTTTCGTAAATCTTTAACAAGTGTTTCACGATCATTTTCCCATATACGTCGTATAAAAATTGATTCAGTAAATATCCAACACCAACCTATAATAGGTAATAATTTAAGAGATTGTTTACCAATTATTTTTGATCCTTGCATTATACCAATACGTTGACAAATAATCCAACCAGGAATCCAATCAATATCATATTTATGATTCATTCTAAATATTTCAATATCTTTTTACGTTTTTGTACATTAAAAAAAGAAAAGAATCTAATTCGACTTACATAACAATGGCATGTTCTTTTTGAATTTTTTCAAGATCATCAGGATTCATATACAATGTACAATCACTTTTTGACCACCATTGTGCTATAAATGTAAATTCTGTTCAAAAACAAAAAAAAAACAATTTGTCAATAAGTTCACGATTTAGAATTATGTATAAATTAAAAAAGTAAGAAGTTTCTTAGAAAGCTTTTCTTTGATAGTCATGTGATATTGACTTCAATATTTCAAATTACAAAAAAAAAAGGCTTCGAAAATATTTCTACTCAATTTCTATGGGATTAATAAGATGCAAATATGTTTATTATAATTAGATAACGTATGAAGGAATCCATCCGACTGAAACTTTCCATTTGGGTTCATACGTAGAATTCATAGTGTAGATTAAAACTCTCAATAGATTCATGCGATTAAACTTTTCCTCTCAAATTATGCTCATGTTAGCATCGATTATTATAGTTTTATTTGTAAAAAAGTTAATATAACAAGGAAAATTATGTGGGCTTTTATATGTATAGGTTTGTGAACGCATACCTATGGGATTTGAACCGGACACAAAACCGTTGGTACAATGTGCACAATATCGGCAATCAATCGATGGTAGTTTGATACTTAAGCGATTGGCTATTCTCTAATCGTGGTATGCTGTCAGTTCTTATGAGTATCGCCGTAGTGTGAACGAACGTGCAACATAGGTAGGAGCATGCTATATTCTGAACAATGACACATATCTAACGATCATGCCATATGTAGAATAAGGAAATTATCTAAAAAAGATCACACCATATAGAAGATAAAGTGCAATGTAATTAAGAAGACAAAATGATAACAGAATCATTATGAATAGTAGTCTGTAATTTTCCTTCATGATAGATCTTATAATTTTGACGATCTGTCTAAAAGTTTCAGCTCAAACAAATGATTTCTTCTTAACATATTCGATGTAAAAAAAAAATGGACTATTTTTGGAGTTTTCATGATACAGTAATGTTTTATTTTGCATACCTCTTATTTCGAAATAGAACCATCTGTCTGAATTAAAACTTTCATGACATCATACAAACCATAGGAACTATTATTGTAGAACATTTTAGACATAAATTCTTTGTCACGGTTTTTGTTTTTCGTCAAATCCTGTACAATAAGGTTAAACTTTCATAAAATTGAGCATAATTCGAGAAGAAACGACCTAATAGCAAAGGTCCTTCGGTAGTTTTCATCAATACTATGAGTCATACATCAAAGCCAAAACTATTATCAGCACCAGAATTCAAGACATTCGGATGTTTTTTGAATCATTTCCGATGGGAGCAAGATAGAAACCTGCGGTTTCCACTGTTCGAAAGAGCGGTGTCCGGATCATCGATCTGCATAGAGTTCATTAAGACGAAAGATGTTTTTTGGATCAACAATTTTTCCTTCACGTATATTCATCGATTTTCACAATAAATCCCAACTCAAATTATATGAAAATGTAGCTAAAATCACCCTTTTCTTCGCTATAAAATTAGCACAATGATAATAAAACATATGATAATTTCATAGTGAAAAAAGATAATATTAGCTACATTTTCATATAATTAGAGTTGAGATTTATTGTGAAAATACGCGAGGA